CTTTTTAGTTTTATGAGGTCCCATTTATCTATGCTATCTCTTAGTTTCAGCTATTTTTCTTAAAGTGTTTTTTTTTTCTTTTCTTTTCTTTCCTTCTTTTCTTTGAGGCAAGGTCTCAATATGTAGTCCAGGGTAGCCTTGAACTCAGGATCCTTCTGCCTCAGCTTTCTGAGTGCTGGAATTAGAGACAGGTGCCACCATAACTGACTTCTTAGTTTTTAAATGCTGTTGATTTGGTCTGCTTTGTAAAAGCTTTATCATATGTTTAGTCTCGTGTTTTACTGTGCCAGGCAATTCTCTGACTAACCGTACTAGCATAGTGGACATTTTATTTTCCAGCTGTTTGGGTTGAAGATAAATCTGTGTTCCTTCAGAAAGTATGTTACTGGCTATTGATAAGGCACACTATTCTTACTGCCTTAGGAAGAATCGTTCTATTTATGGCTTTTAAAAATTTGTTGTTGCTGTTGTTTTTTTAATCAGGAAAGACATGATGCATTGTCGCAGTTATCCTACTTAGCAATGGAAAGAAAAACAGTCCATGGAGAGGAAGCTAGCAGCTGCCTTCCTCACTGAGGCCCCTCCAGCTTCTGGGCATGAACTCCCTGCATGCCACATTGATGACATTTGTCATGAGTGGTCCCCAGGGCGGCCCTGTGAGGTGTGAAGAGTTGTACTCACTGAGCCTCAATCTGTCACATCGAGAGTGCTCATCGTCCTTATCCTATTCTACCCAAAGCATAGTTGACAAAGAAGTTTGGAATTCACGAACATCTAAAAGTCCCTGCTGCCCCTTCCCCCTCCCTCAGCTCAGATCTGTTTCTCATAAAACCCCAGGGATTGTTCCCATTATCTTCAGTCCTGTAGCAAATCTCCCCCAAATGTATTGGATTTTAAATAAGTGCCATTTTATTTTCTGACATGACTTCTCTGTTGTTGGAGGTCAGCTGGGGAGCTCTACTCCACACGTGCTTGACTGAGGCTATAGTCATCTGCAGGCATGGCTGGGCTAAGAAGACTGGAAGGCTCCCTCACATGCCTGGCTGGGCCTCCCCAGGTCAGTGAGACCTCAGGGCACTCCCTCTTCATGTGGCTTATTATGCAGGGGTCTCTGTGTGGTTACTCAGAAAGGTAGCCAGGCATTGTCACATGGTGGGTGAGAGCTCCCCAAAAGGCAAAAGCTAGCAGGCTTCTTGCAGCTTAGCACAGAACTGGCACAGTGACACTTTCCCACATTGTATTGGTCCAAGCAAGTTACAGACTATCCTAGAGCCTTCATGGGTGGGAATTGCATGAGTGTGTGAACCTAGGAGGTGTGATTTCTTGGGACCACCTTTGGAGAACAGCTGTCATGGGTTTTCTAACTGGGCTTTCCAAGGATATGAGAGAATGACTTGAAAAACCTACAGAATCTGTCTGTTTAACAGGAAACTTAGGAAAAGCAAAACAAAAGTTATACAATTACTGTAGCGTGAGATTTTGGCATTCATCTTAATACCTCCCCACCATGGCTACCAGTATATTTGGTATTTCTACTGTCTTTAAATTCTTTAATATTTTTATTGACATATACTACATGAACATATTTATGGGGTACAGCACCATAATTTCACACGTATATAATCTATAATGATCAAATCAGTGTAATTAGCATTTCCAACTCTAATTGGCAAACGTGTATCATTGGCAGCCTTTGGACTCTTCTAAGTATTTTTAAGCATATCCTAAATTGTGATTTTAGGTACTCTGCTGTCCTTTAGAACACTACAAGTCTTTCTTCCTATCTAACTGTACTTTGGTACCCATTTTCTAGCCTCTCTCTATCTCACTCCCCTTCCTAATCTCTAGTGAGCACTATTCTACTCTTTTTTTCCTGAGGGAGAAATTGATTTTTTTTTTTTAGCTTCCACTAATGAGAACATGCAGTATTTGTCTTTCTGTGCCTGACTTATTTCACTTAACATAATGTCTCCAGTTATATCTACATTGCCAAAAATGACAAGATTGTAACCTTTTTATGGTTGAAAAATACAATTTGTGCCTATATGCCACATTTTTTTTTGTTTTTTTTATATGCCACATTTTTAAACCCATTCCTTTTGTGAAAAGAACCTGGATATTGTGACTAGTGCTGCAATAAACATGGGAGTGCAGAAATCTCTTTGATATACTGACTTAATTTCCTGTGTATGTGTGTGTATTTGCATGTACATATATATGTATATGGTTTATATACAATAGTGGGATAGCTGGTCATATGGTGGATCAATTTTTACTTTTCTGGGGAATTTCCAAATTGTTTTCCATATAGCCATACTAATTTATATTCCCATCAACAATGTATGAGAGTTCCCTTTTTTTGAATCCTTCCCTTTTTTGAATCCTCACCAGCCATTTTTATTTTGTGTTTTTGATAACAGCTATTCTTGTGTTAGTAGTTCTCCCAGACACCCAGAAATCATATCCCGTTGTGGTTTGGATTCGCTTTTCTTCGAAGATTAGTGATCTCAGCATTTTTTCATATACTTGTTGCTCATTTGTGTATTTTCTTTTGAGAAATGTCTATTCAGATAATTTACCCATTTATAATCATTATTTGAGTTCCTTATATACTCTAGATATTAATCTTTTTTCAGATGAACCATGTGCAGGTTGTCTCTTCACTGCTAATTGTTGTCTTTGCTGTGCAGAAGCTTCTTAGTTTGGGATAATCCATTTGTCTAGTTTTGCTTTTATTGACTATGTTTTGTGGATCCTATTCAAAAAATCTTTGCCTGCATTAGTGTTTTGAAATGTTTCCTCTGTGTTTTCTTCTGTATCTCTAGCATCTTATCTTGTGCTCTGCATTTGCCACTCAGTTTCTTTTTTAACTCCCTAGGGCCTCCTTTTGGACTTTTTTCCCTTCCATTTTTTCCTCCCTATTAGCTACCAAGTCATACATTTTATTTCTAGACTTTTAGTGCTTACCCTAGATATTTTGACAATCAAACTGTACTAATCAAAGTCTAAGCTACTTACTACCTTTCTCTTTCCTTAGAAAACTTCCACTATAATCATACAGTCTCCTGACTTACATGTTGTTGCATACTTCAATTGAATTTTCTTTTTCTAACTCCCAAGACACCATTATTATTGGTTTATATAGTCATCATTCAGATTTTATTTTTTAAGATAGCTATAGAAAGAATTTCATTGTGACATTTCCATGTATATATGTGTTATAACCCAAAATGGTTCATCCTCTCTATTTTTTGCCTTTCTACCTTAGTCTCCTCCTTTAAGTGATTTCAACAGGTTTTAAAAAATCTATATTCATTCTTGTATAGAAAGTACAATTTTTTTTTTCAGTACTGGTGTTAGAACTCAGGGCCTACACCTTGAGCCACTACACCAGTCCCTTTTTTGTGAAGGGTTTTTTTGAGATAGGGTTTTGCAAACCATTTGCCTGGGCTGACTTCAAACCATGATCCTCCTGATCTCTGCCTTCTGAGTAGCTAGGATTACTGACATGAGCCACGGAGCCCCGCCATGTTCACCTTCTTAACTTCTTTCTTTTACCCTCCCTCATTCAGATTTTATAGTCTATTTTTATTCATTTTTCAAATCTGCTTGGTCAATTTTATGGCTTTTATTTATTTATTTTTACATTTTCAACCCCTTCTACTATTTATTTAAACATCTTCTGTTTGATAATTCAGGGGGTCTTTGTGTGTCTAATTCTGTTGTAAGTTGTTTGTTTTTGTTGACTCTTGCTCATGGTGCTGTTAATCTTTGATTCATGATTTGTGGCTTTTTGCTCAGAGTTCTTGAAAATTGCATGCGTAATTATTTATACACATGTAGAAATATGTGGAGAAAGTGGAAGTGAGTTCCTCCAAAGCGGAGGGTTTGTAGCTGTCCCTCTGGGTTTCTGGGAGAACTATTAACCCAAGAGCACTTTAAATCAAATCCTTGGCTTGAGGTTTTTGTGACAACTCAAAATATATCTTATTTCTCTATGAAGTTAAATTAGATTTGAACAATCAGGGGAGATCCCCCTACATACCTGTTCAGTTCAAGTTCATTCAGTTTTCTGGAGAGCTGAGGTCAGGGACAGATTAGTTTCCCATTTTCTGTTACTAGTGAAACTGTCACTGGTGAAACTGTCAGGTATCTCTGTCATGATGCTGTAAACAGAAATTACTGTTCTCTGAGTTGAAATTTTACTAAGATAGGAGTTTTATCTTGGTTATAGAAAAGGTAACATCATGTGTGGTGTGGTTGCACTACACGGAATTTTGGGGAGCACAGTGGGAAAGGTCAGACCCTAATTTCTGCTTGTCATCTTTAGTGCCCAATCCAAGTAGGATTCAAGTCTACTCTCAAGGTGATGTGGCCTAGGGAAGACATCTTGAGCACAGCTCTAAGAATGAGCACAAGTTCTTTGATACCCACTTGCTCTCCAGCTCCACAGGAATATAGAGCGCTTTCTTCTTGCTTTGTGATCCTGGCTTCACTCCACTGTCACCCATCTGCTTGGTTATTCATCTGAAAACCCTTTCTGCTCAGTGTTTCCAGCTGTCGCTGGGAGCTTGTGCCATACCATACTTGAAGGACCACCTTCCCTAGATCATCTCAGCCCCAGAAATCATCCTGAGCAGTAGCCTGACCCACAAACTGTTCCATGTTTGGGCCTTTGACCAGGTCATGGCCTACTCACCTCAGTCCTCTTGAGTCCTGCTGCTGTGATTCAACTCAGATAGCCTCCTCTTTCTCTTCTCATTTCCTCCTCCCCTATTACCCTTCTTTCTCCCATGTTCTTGTTCACATGTTCTACTCCAGGGCCCTATTGTACAAAAATGCCACATGGTTACAACTCAAACCCTCACCCACATTCTTTTTCATGAGAGGTTAGCTCATCAAACCAAATTTGAGTCACACTCAGAAGTGACAGAGTGTTCCTAGCACATCACTGTCCAACCTGGTCATTTCTTGTGTTTTTTCACTTCTAGTGCAGGAGGCCTAGAAGCAAACCTGGAGATGAGACCTGAAGAAATCTGGAACAATGTTGAGTTTGTACAGTTAGAAGAAGCAAACTCTGTCCCACGAAAGTCCACCATCAATGTAGATGAGGAAGATGAGGCTCTCCAAATCTGCCGTGTATGTGGGGACAAGGCCAATGGCTATCACTTCAATGTCATGACATGCGAAGGATGCAAGGGCTTTTTCAGGTAAGGTCACCCATCAACCTTCACTCACTTGCCACCATTGACATACGAGGTCACATCTAACTGGGGTCTTCCGTTAATCCTCCAGGCCACAGCTTGATCTGACTCTCAGGTTCTCAGTGTGAGCTGGTAGCCCACTCAAGGCTCTTCCAGTTAGTCAAAGTGAGACACTTATACCTTACAGAAATTCTTTTTCTTCAAGTCTACCTGAGGTACCCATTAAGATATCCCTTTGTTCACCTATGTGTTCTTAAATAAAAAAGATTAGTCAGCAAAAGAGTAAGGAAACTGAAAATGCAAAACATGAGTGTCCAAATCAGTTTCATGGAGCCCAGTTGTTGAGTAAAGAATGATAAAAAAAAAAAATGAAAAAAATAAAACCTCACATAAAAACAGACAAACAGGAAGGATCCAAAAATTAAGGACAGAAACATTCTATCTCAGAATAAGGCAGGCCTGGACAGAAGGCTCACGTTGTCCAGCTGTAGAAACAGAAAGGCCAAAGTCAGCTCAGCAAGGCCCCTTAGCACAGGGCTCAGACCAAGAATGGAAGGTAGAGGGAAAGGAATGTGTGAGGTAGAGCCCCAGTCTGCTCCAGGAAGGAACAGGGTATGCAGTTCCCATCTCAAGGCCACACCTGGGAATCTTTATACATCCCCAAGATGGCCAGCCTAACTTCAGAACTTCAGAGCTCTTCCTGGTGACTGGACATTCGAATGTAAATGAACCCTTGAGCCAAAGCCCTACCCTACGATCTCAAAGATGGGGTGTTGGTCGGTATGTTATGGGGAGGGGCTCAGTTGTGTATCCCAGGACCTCCAGCAGGACTTCCAGGTCTGGATGAATCCAGAGAGGCACTGCAGCAAGTTCTGTGCTATGACCAGTTTAGTGTCACCAGAGTGAAGAAACCCCTGCTTCAGGGCTGACATAGCCAAGCCTGGTCGCATGGAGAGAACTGCGCAGGGCAGGTTCAAAAGTATCATGCTCCAGAGAGAAGTGAACATTGGCTGTCTGGGCTACACTGGGTGAGACACAGCAGCTGTATTCAGCTACAACACTTACTCAATAAGGAAAAAGTGTTGCTGCTTATTATAAGAAGTCTGATGGCTCCCATGTTGATGAGTTCTGCAGCTCAGGTCTTTGCAATTTTCTCATCTCCATTCCATCCCAGAGCTCTGACATCAGTCTGGCTCCCCTTGGAGGAGCATAGTGTCAGGGGCCCAGGCAGTAGCAATGATGTTCAACTAAGGAACAACAACAACACACAAAAAACCTTTCTTGGAAGATCCCTTCCCCTCACATAGGCTAGAGCTGGCCCAGCCTACCAGTCACTAGCAAAGGGCACCAAATACAGCCCTGAGCTGGGCACGTGCCACATGGCCACAGGAAGCCAGGTGCCCATTTGAACCAGATCCAGATTCTTCTAGCACAGAAGAGGATGTCTGGAGCTCTGTCCAAGCGGCATCCATGTAGACTGCCTTGGCATGAGGGAATATCTGCTCTCTCTCCTCATTTGGATGTTATTCCTGGGACTCCCAGAGGGAGGCAACACATATCAGTGGGCAGGAGTTTGAATTCCACATCAGGCAGACCTAGACTCAAGCCCTAGTTTATATTTACCTGGAGGTCAGGCAGGTGGTGATCTGGCTTTGGCTTCCATCTGTGGCAGGCAGGTGACAGGATGACTCACAGGGTTTTGAAGATGATCTTTGCAAAGTTCTGCAAAATATGTAGCCTAGCACCTGATACAGCATGTCTGTAATAGAGTTGAGCCCCCTTTCGCCTTTTATCCATTCTGGGTGCGCTGTGGAGTAGCATCACAGGTCTCTTGGCCAGGTCAGCAGGAGAGGCAAGGGGTGACGGTATGGCATCCAGGAGGAATGTTCCCCTAGGCTAGTCACGTCTGAGGCCTCAGTCCTCTGAGCTCACACTTATGAGTCACCAGGCCCCCTAGCTCTTTTCAAGCTGGCTTCCCTCAGTTTCCACACTGCTGGGTCAAAACCAGAGGCCAGAACCAAGGGAGAACTTGTGTCATTCTATCCGGCTGTGGAAATGAGGGAAAACTGTTAGGGGTGTCCTGACAGGGTCTTTTGCGGGAGGTCAGGATGCTAGAGAAGAGAGGGTGGCTGCCAGAGTCTTCTAAAGGGTCACCCACTCCTGCTTGCTTGCTGCAAAAGCCTGGGCCTCTGTGCTGAGCTCTTCTCCACCAGGCTCCGAAGCTCTTTGCCTTCAAGCCAATCAGGAGGATCCACTTTGCAATGGGAAAGTCATTGTCCAGTAAGGCAGAAAAGTTTCCTCCCTCTGCCCCCGTCCCCAAATCCAGAATGAGAACTGGGAAAGGGAGTGGCCTGCTTATGTTTCTGACGCTACTCCTGGGGTCAGGTTTTCTCTGGCTCCTTACAAGAAGGAGAAATCCAGGAAGAGGCCCATCCCCATGGTAACGCTGCCTAGAAACAAGGGCCTAAAGGAGGAGGGACAGGTGCTTGTGGAAGCACCAGTGTGGGACACTGGAATTTCAGTGTCCCAGAAAGTGGCTCAGGGGCTGCAGGCGCCTGTGGAAGGGGCATGTCCCATTTCTTGTGGGAACTGTCGCAGGAAAGTCGCCTCCCCTGCTCCTCTAGCTAAGACCTGGACCTTGGGGAGGAAGCCTCCAATAAAGCCCCACTGTGAAAGCAAAGGCTAGGCTCTCCAAATATCCATTGTGTGCGCCGTCGAGAGAGGTGGGGGGGATGGGGGGTGTTGGGGCCCTGGCCTATCAAGGAGCCAGTGACCGACCCACGCAACCTACCTAACGCTCTTCCTCCCCTCACAGGAGGGCCATGAAACGCAATGTCCGGCTGAGGTGCCCCTTCCGCAAGGGCACCTGCGAGATCACCCGGAAGACGCGGCGGCAGTGCCAGGCCTGCCGCTTGCGCAAGTGCCTGGAAAGCGGCATGAAGAAGGAGAGTGAGTGTGGGCGGGCTACGCCTGTGCGGCCCCCTGTGCTGCGAGAGGTCGCCGTGGGCTCGGGCGGGAGCGCGCGTGCGGATGCGCGCCGAGGGCGGGCGCGTGAGCCTTCTGTGCGCCAACAGGAGGCTACGTGGACAACTTGTAGAGGGGACTTGGGGACGGAGGCTATCTCTGTTCGCTGCTCTGTGCGGTGTGGTGGGCGTCGCCAGCCAGGGTTGTGCTGTCCCTGTATGATTCCTTTTGCTCTCTTGGTTGTGTGACCACACCGGGGGACCGTGACCTTGTTGGGGACGTGTGCTGAACTTGTTCTGCTCAACTCGCAGTGATCATGTCTGATGCCGCGGTGGAGCAGAGGCGCGCCCTGATCATGAGGAAGAAGAAGGAACGGATCGAGGCTCAGCCTCCCGGAGTGCAGGGGCTGACGGAAGAGCAGCGGATGTTGATCGCGGAGCTGATGGACGCTCAGATGAAAACCTTTGACACCACCTTCTCTCAATTCAAGGATTTCCGAGTAGGAGGCTTAGGACAGGCTGCTCAGTACCCCAGTGTTCTCCCCAGGGCTTCCCAGTATGTTTCTGGGCCCAGGGATGGCAGGAGACCCTGGAAACTTGTTAGAAATGCAAATTTTCAAGCATCCTCTCCCCCTAGTCAGAAACTCAGAGATGGGTTAAGAGACCCTTGGTGATTCCCGCACAGGCCCAAGTTGGGAGGAATTGGGCTGAGGATAGGAGGAGGCAAAGCTAAGAGGTTCCCAGTTGCTGGCATTCAGGGCTTTATGAGGACAGGGTTGGCTCCTGTTGGGGATGAATTTTCTGAACCAGTGTTCTTGGTTACTTGTGTCTCTGCCCATGCCTCCTTTCCTGTGTGCCCACAAGTATCTCGGGTGGCCTGCCCATCTCAGAGAACTGGATTAGCTCAGACACCTTCTGAGTCTCAGGAGCCCAACATCAGGAATGCTTTGACACACCAGTGGGAGGCCCCACTCACCCTCCCTCCTGACCAGGCAGTGATGTGTGCAACCACTAATTCACAGATGCACAAAGCACCACCTGATACACCAGAGAGAAGAAAGCAGCAGTGTATGTGTCTGTGTGTGCACATGTGTGTGCACAGGAATGTGGGCCTGCCATCGTGCATCTTCTCAGGCTGCAGCTGGCTGTCTGTGGGGACCTGTCTATGGAAACACACAATCTCTCCTATCTCCAACCCCTGTCTTGCGTTACAGCTGCCGGAAGTGTTTAGCAGTGGCCAGGAGATTCCAGAGTTTCTACAGACGTCAGTGGGAGAAGAGGCTCTCTCCTGGAGGCAGATCAAGGAAGAGCTGTGTCCCATGAAGCTCTCTCTGCAGCTGCGGGGGGAAGATGGCAGCGTTTGGAACTACAGACCCCCAGCCAACAGCAACGGGAAGGAGATCATCCCTATGCTGCCCCATCTGGCTGACATGTCAACCTACATGTTCAAAGGCGTCATCAACTTTGCCAAAGTCATCTCCTGCTTCAGGTAAGACATGCAGGCTGGGTGGAGGGATGTGGAGAGGAAAGAAAATGGTTCAGAGGTTCAGAGGATCTGGGTAGGTCCACCCCTTTTGTCTCTGTCCCTTGGGGTACTGGTTCTGCTGGGGACTAGAGCCCTGACCATCTGACCCATTGAGTCTATAGCTGTGCTTCTGCCATTTACCCTAACTGTCTCAGCCTCCCATCTGGAGGTGGGAGCGAAGCATGCCTACTTCACAGGACTGCTGTGTACAATAAGAAGACATCTAAAGAGCAGCCAACATATGGCAGATATTCAGATAGTAATTCCCCTTCCCTATTTCCCCCATAAGGGCAGAAATCACAACTTGACATTTTCAGAGCAAAGAATGAGTTGGAAGGAAAAAGAAGAAAGTCCAGAGAGAGGGAGAGAGAGAGAGAGAAACAGGTGCTGGGTGTCCAGCTGTCTGCTGCCAAGACAAGGCTGAACAGGTCACAGGGGAGACGGTCCTGAGATCCAAAGGGCCAGGTTCCCTCCAGAGCTAAGCCTGGAGGCAACAACTATGACAAGTGGGGTCAGCAGGAGGCCCAGTAGCCCTTGTGTGGTGGAAACCACAGCTCTGTAAGGTGTAGTCTATGGGGCTGGATTTGGAGTAGGCATGTTTGGCTTTGGGTTGGCCACCTTGCCTTGAGGAGTCTCATCAACTGTGGCTGAATCACAGGCACAAAGAGGTGGATTTCATTGGTAGGCAGAGGGCATGTGCTAAGAGTGGGATTCAAAGCTTGGGGCTGCCTGGAGGCAAAGGGTACATATTAAATAGGTACATATTAAATCCAATGTAACACCAGCAGCCAATATCGTCAGTGCATGGAGCTCAGGAAAGGGTGGCATATGTAGAAAGGCTCTGCATTCTGGAAGTATCGGGGAGAGGCAAAGACATAGCTTGGCCTGAAGAGCTAGCAGTATTTCCTTACTGAAAAACTGAGACAGAGTGTATGAGGTTAAGAAGCAGGAACCACTGTAGGTCAGTGGCTGAGAGGAGAGTGGCAGGGGTGGAACAGGCTCTAAGGGATCTGGATACAAGCTAAGTGGACATGGAGTATCTCTGAAGGCAGAAGGAGAGGAGGGGACCATTGTAGGGGAAAGTAACCTGCTTGGCTGAACTGCGAAAGGGGAGAGATTAGAGGCGACCAGAAAGCAATTGCAGTGGTCCTCAGGAGAACGACTCTATCCTGCCTCTTTCTCTCCCTCTCTTCCAACTTCTGGATTATGGGAGTGGGTTCTGGTGCCAGCCCATGGGCAGCTTCCCTGGGAGCTGTCATCCCCTCCCCATCCTTGCTGCCAGGGACTTGCCCATTGAGGACCAGATCTCCCTGTTGAAGGGGGCCACCTTTGAGATATGCATACTGAGGTTCAACACGTTGTTCAACACAGAGACTGGGACCTGGGATTGCGGTCGGCTGGCCTACTGCTGTGAAGACCCTGAAGGTGCCCTGGAAGGGGGAGGAAGGAGAGGGCTTTAAGGAGGAAGGGGTTACACCAGGATATCCTGGGATCGTGGGGTGAAAAGATTGGGTGATAGAACAAAAGAGTTTGGTGAAGAAAGGTGGTTCTTGGGTCAACTTCCTGAAACACTCCCCCACCCCAATATCCACCAACAGGTGGCTTCCAGAAACTTCTGTTGGATCCCTTGATAAAATTCCACTACATGCTGAAGAAGCTACAGTTGCACAAAGAAGAGTATGTGCTGATGCAGGCCATCTCCCTCTTCTCCCCAGGTGATGGCCCCTCCCAGCAATTGACACCCCCTCCAATGATCTGCTAGGGGATCCGCCCTCAAGCCTCCTCAGGGGAAGGTCCCAGCCATCTTCCTTGTTCCCCACTCTTGCACAGCTAGAGTGTGGACTCTGATGTTTCTCCTTGGTCAGTGGGGTGATGCAGAGCCCCTCTATCCTTGCTCTGCCTGGGTGACTCAGGCTCCTGGAGTGGTTGACTGGCAGTTGCCCCTCTGGCCCCTCCTTGCCTTTGTTGACGCCATACTGCCTTCCTTTCCCCACAGACCGCCCAGGTGTGGTGCAGCGCAGCGTGGTGGACCAGCTGCAGGAGAGATTTGCCATGGCCCTGAAGGCCTACATTGAGTGCAGTCGGCCACAGCCCACCCACCGGTGAGCATAGGCAGGGAGGGTGGATGAAGATCTCACCTGGCCTCCAGGCCCCAGCCTGCCTGAGTCTCTCTGGGACAGCAGACCAGAGCTATGCCTGGGGAAGCCTCTGATGACCAGACCTCCTTCTAGGCCTCCTGTCCAGTCAGCCTAAGTTCCAGCCTAGTCATGGAGAAACCTGAGAGGGGTCTGAAGTTGTGCCCAGCTGAGAGGACATTTGTTTGTCCAGGGCTTTCCACACTCTATCATCAAGTGATGGGAAGACCCAGATGCTTCCCTGTGTCTCCTATAGGTTCTTCTAGCAATGTCCAGTAGTAACTACAATGACAGTAAAGATAACAATGATACCAACCATGATGGTAATCATTAATACATCTATAACAGCTGTCATTGACTGGAATGTGCCAGCCCTGGTATACTATCACCTTCAGTCCTCAAAACACTCCCACAAGGTGGGTATCAACACCATCCTGCCAGAAGCCAAGGCTCAGGACCATTGCCCAGGGTTCCATAGCCAGAGGGGTAGAGGCTGGCAGTGGGCCCAGCCAGACCACATCCAAAGTTCAAGCTCTTGAATTTCCTAGGAAGAACACAAATCAGGGGTTGGAAACTTCTTACCTTGTCTTGGCCATAACTCAAAAGAGGAAGGCTGTTTGGAACTTGGGCCTCCCAGAAGCTTGCATACCTTCAGTGGTTCTCAGTATGCCCACATCTTAGTGTCCAATCTGATGCCCAAGGACATCAGACTGAGGACCAGGAGAAACTTGGTTTGCAGAGAGCTAATGCCTTGAGGATTAAGGCAGCCCTGGGTGTCATGATGTTCTTGTAACTCAGAGTCCTCTCATGGCCCACACCAGCCTTCTGTTTGGCTCAGCATGCTGGGATGCTAGACCCTCCCCTATATGGAAGGAAGTGCTAGCCCTTCTTTACTATCTTGGGGAAACACAGTCATGTGGTGTGTTTAGACAATACATCCAAAGCTAGATCCAGGAAGGGATCCCAGCCTCCAGGTTCTAACCTCCACAACTACTTTGCTTGGTCCTGGGCCCTGGACCTTAGTCAGACAGTGACTTCCTCACCCCCAAATTAACCTATGCATTTGGCACCTGGAAGTCCTGAATTTTCCACCGAGGTGTCTATGCACACAAGTGCAAGCCCGCGGCTGGTGTGGAGCAGTGAGATTACAGCTCTCTCCTCAAGTACTGGAAAGCTGTTCTGTCCTCCTTATGCACAGGCTGAAGAAATTCAGTCAAGCTTCATCTCTTGGCTGACATGAGATGTCCTGGGTTTGAACTTGGGCACTCTCAGAGCAGTGCTAGGCTGACACGTGTTGGGGAGAGGGTGGGCCATCCCCAATGTCTCCTCTGGCTGGCCTGCAGGTTCCTGTTCATGAAGATCATAGCAGTACTCACCGAACTGCGCAGCATCAACGCCCAGCACACCCAGCGGCTGCTGCGCATCCAAGACTCACATCCCTTCATCACCACTCCCCTCATCCGGGAGCTGATCAGCAGCACAGATGGCTGAGCTGCTGCTCTTGGGTGGTGCCTCGTGGGACAGCCAGACCCTGAGCTCTCTGAGCCACCGCTTCTGGGGCTAGATGGATGGACAGCACTGGTAGCAACAATGCCCTGTGAACCAAAGCTGCCTAGCATTCCTCAGAAAGGAGGCTTGGGTCTGTCCCCTGCAACCCTCAGTTCAGTCTGTGGAGAGGGAAGCCATGGACCCTATGTGGAGAGGGCTGGCTATAGGTCAGACCCATCAGAGGGGCAAGGCTGCCCTCACCTTAGATAAGCCCTACGGTATGGGAATAAATCCTCAATTCTCATTAAAGTGTTGGGGGAAAGGGAAAGGGTGATGGACCTGGGCCATGTGACAGCCTACACCCACACCCCAGTCCATTGGCTTGGGTCTTTTCCCTGCCACCCCTAATGTTCCTGCTTCCCGCTCCCCACTCACTGCCATCCCCCAGCTGCTTGGTGGGTTCCAGCCCTGTGCTCAATCAGCAAGTGCATTCGCGTCGTCTAAGCTTAGTGTCTTCTAAGCCTGAAGTGACTGTCATGACCTTGTCTTGGTTCATCATTCTGGGCTTCTTCATCCATCCAAACACCAGTAATATGTAACCTGCTGTGGAGTACACGGCATTGAATCAGATGTGGGTCCTGACCTTAAAGGGTTTATATAGTTAAGAAAACAAAGCTGAAATACCTGTTAGGAACAGTTCATTAAAACACCTGTTATGACAGTTCATAATGGCAAGCTATTATTATGGGGGTCAAACCAAGTGACATGTGACATAAGAAACACAAAGAAGTTTATATGGATGCTGAGCTGCGCTGGCTTCTGTGGTGCCTGGGACCAAATTGAGGGTTCCCCAAGGGTGGGTACCTGTATATGACCTGATGTAGGCACATCTGCTCCCCATCTGACTGAGGCCTGGGTTGGCTCCTGAGGATGGAGCACTGGAGTATTTGGTGTCAGGGTGAGGTGACAGTCAGTTCATAAATGTGCCAGCAGAGCCACTTGCCTGCACTGATATTCCTGTGCACACATCTGATCTCACAGCTAAAGAGTATGGAAGTGTCTACCTTGTTATCTCCATATTTTCATTTCACAAGCTATTCTTTCATTTTATATAAGGTGGTTCCAATGTAAGAACAAGGCTTAACATATTTTTCTTGGGTTTAATGTTAAATGAAGGCAAGAGGAATTAAGTAATGAACTTCTGGCTTGAGAATGTAAACATTTTTGGTCTTCTTTTCTGGGGAAGAAAGAAATGTGGGAGTGGGAAAATAGAAATAAAACACACAAAGCTGGGCGTGGTGGTGCATATCTGTAATCCCAGCACTCAGGGGACTGGGGCAGGATAGTGAGTTTGAGATCAGTTTGGGCTACACAATGAAACCTGTATCAAAAAAAAAATTCATGCATACACATATATTTTACTATTGCCTTTTATATGTATGTGAAGATTCTGCTGGTACAAGTACATAAAAATGAGTTATTTAACTTTGCTTGCTTATGATTGTTCTTTATAAAACTTTAAAAGAGGACCAGCCTGTAGTCCTAGCTACTCAGGAGGAAGAGACCAGGAGGATCATGGTTTGATGCCAGTCTGGACAAAACGTTAGTGAGACCCCACCCTGCCTGTCATCCCAGCTATGTGGGGACATAAACAGGAGAAACCAGGTCCAGGCCAGCCTGAGTAAAAATCTCTCAAGACCCTATTAGAAAAATAATTAAGGCAAAAGGGGTGGGGTGTGTGGCTCAAGTGGTAGGGTGCCTGCTTAGCCTAGCAAGTGCAAGGTCCTGAGTTCAAATACCAGTACTGCATGTATATATTTCATATAGCAAAATTAGAAATGTAGTGATTGAATTAACTTTAAATGTGTAATATTTGGTTGCAAATGAAGCAGCAAGTAATGAATTTTAAGCAACAGGTAATTGCTTAACATTATTTTATAAGAAGCAGGACAAACTTTTGAGAACATAAAGAAATCATTAATAAGTCAAAGGCAGTAAGTCAAATTGGGATATTGATTCCCTGATAGTCCCTCAGATTTACCAGCCTTTTCTGCATAGAGAAGAAAGCACTCATTTTTGGAAAAGAAAATGGGTAAATTGAGCTCAGTGAATACAGCTTTTGTTACCAGGAATTTTGACTAACTATAGACTCAGATATAATTAAAAATGTGATTTTGATTTGGAAATACAAATTCCATCCAGCTGTATTTCATTTCATACAAGTATTATTTTCTCTAGGAAAATAACTTTCAGTGTGCTATTCATTCAAGAGCCTAAAGTTGTTGCTAGATGTAGGTTAGGGTAAGGTGAGGAGGCTAAAGCAAGATTAAAATGGGATGAAGATTCAACTACTGCATGACAGTATTGATTTAAAAAACAGGCAGTTCCTCAAATTCAAAATTGATGTGTTCATAGGACTTCTACAGATTATAAAAACTAAGTGTATCTACTCTAAGAGTAGTTTAAAATTCACACTGAGATGCACGGAAGAGCATCTTCTGTGAGATGCCCGGAAGAGCATCCTTACAGGGTACTTCCTGCAGGGCCTTGTGCCCCTCAAATGTGTAGGACTAGGAGCCACATTCGCTTTGCTTCTCTCATGCATTTGGGCCTCCTGACTTCCTTCCCTGAGCTTTTAAGCAAGTAGAATTAAGCATCAGTGTCTAGGCACCTCTGTGGCCACTTCTTTTTCTAGCTCCTGGCTCAGTCAGGGGAGGAGGGCTTACTCATACAAAGCTCAGGGAAAATGCTTACAGAAATCACTGCAGATCTATCAGCCACCCCCCCCCCCCCGCCTTCCACACCCCTCCAGTCAGAGCCACTCAGCAGCCTCTGCCAAGTCTTGACATCAAAAACCTTCACGTGGAAAGGCCCAAGGTGGCCTCTTCTTTCTGGAGTAGAGGTTGAAAAGATAAACATGTCATTAAGCAGCTCCTCCTAGCTCCAGAAACTTGTCACTCTCAACCTGTCATCTCCCACAGCAGCCTGTTCTCCCAACTGCCTTCCCTTTATTTAGCCACAGCTCTCCTACACGAGGGTGCTAATGAGTGATTCACTCACTATTCCTACACCATCCCACACTTTTGTTCATGTGCTGTCACAAAATGACTTCCAGGATCACTGCTTTCCGGAAATATGATCCCAAAGGACCAATCACTTTTTGGAAGGACTAAGGAACTATTTAAGGAGCATTTCAGGTTTCTAAGCCTTTGTAAAAGAGTATCTTGCAGGACATAAAGGCACTCCATGCCAGCACGTCCATCCCACAAGTAGTATGTCTTTGCTGATTCAGTCTCCCCTCACCCCCAATTAACTTTTTCAAATGTTAATGGAATTAGCCCAGTCTGCCGCCTCATAAATAAAAGAGTACCAGCCTTTATCTAATATAAATTTTTTATTGAAGCAGCAGTCACATGACCTTATCTCTAGCCTTCAGATGACTAGGTCTGACAGTTAGCCAGCCTAAAAAAAAAAAAAAGTTTCTTTTTGCACTAAGAGACATAACATGTTGACATACATCATCCAGTACTGGAAATGAGCAGACTCAAACACAACATGTTGGTTACCCGGGAAGTACAGCCCCACTGTTCGTGGTGTTCATGTTTTACAGAGAACCCAAAGACCGTTTGTTAATAGGATGAAAGTTAAAAAAAATACAGCTACACCAAACCATGAACACAGTAATCAAAGACAGCAGCTTATACATGTTTTTACAACTGTCCCTTTTCAGGGATATCTTCTTTCTTTTCAAAGCAGTGTCTGCACAGCTTCCTCTCCAGCAAATCCAAGATTCCCAGGCTGAAGATGCACCTCTTGTGGCTGTACAGGAGTAAGGTCATTTCAAAGAACGCAATGTGGTGTTCACACCTTGACTGTTACAACAAAGGTTCATGTTTTCCTATTAGAGAAGTGGAGATGGTGATGTGACTACATATTGCAGTGGCAAAATAGGTAGGGTGAAGAAAGAGGGATGGGTACTGAAATAAAGACCACACACTGTGAATTTTAATTTCATTTCCAGGCTAACCTACTTTTTATTTAATGCAAATTACAGTACCAGTTAACTATTTCCAAACCAAGTCACATAGAACGAAATGTATTTACAAGGGAATGGGGAAGGGGGGAAAGAACATTGAGCATACTTTTCACAAAAAAGTTTATATTTAAAATGAAAAAAAAAATTCAGTCACAGAGGCATTCAAGTAGTAATAATGTTATACAGATTTTGCTTTTCCTTTATATCAAGACAGATTTGCACAAGTGTTTGCAATAGTTTGTATACAACCCACAGTCTTTTATATATATATATATATATATAATAAATTTTGTTTAGATTTCTTTTTAAGATGGAAGTGGTCACGCTAATTGGTATGTGTACAGGCCCAAGTGATCCATCGGCAACACATTTATAAATGCAAATTTTACAGGCAAGCACATTTTCATACATCTATCTGTATCTGCCTATTGACAGATACAGTAAGAAAAAAACTTAAAAATTAACACAAGGAAGTCTACTTTGTCAAGATAACCCCTCATGTACTGGTTGTCATTTTGCTTTTTATTGCGGAGGTGCAAAAACGGAGCAATAAACTCGAGTAAGATGGCATAACCCTGTGAAAATAATCCAAACCCCAGGGATTACTTTCAAAGCCTCTGCCTCTCAAAAGTAGACCTACTTTGCCTCTAGTTGTTTTCTCTTATTTTCAGTGGCTCAGGTTTCTACCAGAAAGTTTTATTGTAAAGCATGTTTTTTGTTTTTAACAGGGGAGAAAAGTGTCTCTGTGATTAGAATGATCCTAACATGAGCAATAGGAATTAGATTCAATTTTGGTTTAAAACAAAGAAACCCCCCCCCCAAATTCCTGGGGAGCTGGCATTGGCCAAACTTCCAGGCTTCCTTTGGAAGAGTCCAAAGCTAAATCCTTAGGAAGGAAAAGGGAAAAACAAATGAAATGCCAGTGTCTTTCTATCCACAGGGATAGAGCGTATTAACACTCCTCTCAGAAACCTCTGCATTGGTGCAGACAAGATGACTGGTTAGGCATGCTTTGTTAAAACACAAACCAAAAAAATGGGTCTAAAAATTAAGAGGACTTAAAAAATGACACATGTCACTGGAAGGAAGGTGCAGTCTTCTGCCTTGCCGGAATGAACGCACGATGTTTCAAAAATAGCAACCTTTGGTTTGGTAAAGTTTTTTTTTTTTCCCCTCTATTCACAACATCTTATATGGAGTAGGTGGAGGCAAAACAAATACTATTTTTTTTTCCCAAAAAGGCCTTCAGGTTGGGCACACAGTAAGAATTAAACTGATTTTTTTTAAAAGAAATTAAAATGACATTTCATCAAATGGATAAAGATGGTAGAGGGGAGGGGATGGGCTAAGAGCTACCTCATTAAAACAACAGTTCTCCATCAGCACATGGTCTCCGTGTGGTAACTGCTAGCAATTGCAATAGAGCACTCAGACCATTGATATATCAAAACCTGCTACTATGATACCTCAATTTATAAAAAAGCAATTCTCTCTTTCTCTCTCATTTGGGAGGGAAGTATGTAAGAAGAGCGCGAGCATGAAAGGCTCCCAGAATCTGCTGTTTGTTAAGACCCATGGCAAGGGCTTGTGGAAGAGACGAGCAAAATCTATTTGTTATCCTCCGGCTCTAGGGCTCCCTGCACTACACTAAGTCCAAGTATGAAATGAAGCTGGTCACTGCTTCTGAGAAGGAAACATTCAGAACTAAAACAGAGGCAAGGCTTGAATGAAATGAGATTATGAACATGGTTTCTTCTTCCCACTCCTGAGCATGGTATCATTGAAGGGGGTGAAGATATTGTTATGAGTTATTTCAAAGGGAAAGGGACAGACAGGGAGATATGGATAAAGGAAATTAATTAAAATTTTAAAAATGAAAGAAACCAAACACATGGAAGCGAAGGCACTCCAAACTATATAGATACACTATACATTGCTAGAGTTATTGTTACAATAATACAGGCCGGTACCTACTGTACAGTTAAAACTATATGGCTTTAAAAAGCTCGTCTACATTTTGTCTGATTATTAAACAGAATCACTGCCCTGAACAGTAACTTTTTGCTCATTAATAACAGTTCCTGGGTCCACATATTTACATACAAAACAATAAAACTTAAATTTAAAAACATTGAAAGAAAAATATAATGTACAAGCTTGAATTTGGTGAGGAGCTTTTTAATTATTATTTACAAAAAGATATTCAGAGACCTGGATCTCACTTTTTTGTATAAAAGAGTTCTGTGATTCTGCCATGATCCTTGAGAAAGAAAAATCGTGCACTTCAGCCCTCATGCACGCACGCACGCGCGAGCGCGGCGCGCGCGCGCGCACACACACACACACACACACACACAGAGACATGGACACACGCACACTAAAATGAGAGAAAAGTATCCAACTTTCCTCTCTTCTCTTACCCCATTTATTGGGGGGAGGTGGGGAGAAGTGTTTCCTAAAACAAGCACTGATTTTTCTGGACTCTAGCGAGCACACCAAGTCCAGTGTAGTGTCTGTATCCAAACATCTAGCTGGGCAGTTTGATCTGAAAGCAGGTTCATTTCTCTGTCTCCAACCTGCCTGTTAAGATTCTTCATAAATTCATTCTGCAAATGGTCTACCAGGTCACCCCTTTAAGGAGCTATGCTGCCAAATACTTTGATTTCAGACTCTTTCAAATCTTAAAATAGCTGTCAGAAGCAGTTTGTAAAAAGTAAAATTCAATCTGATTTGGTTTGACTGTTTCCTTTCTCTTGAACTCTGACATAAACAGAGGTTGGAGAAACCTCTTTTGTGGCCTAAAGAGCTTAGCTAACAGTGAGAGAAAATTAAGATAGCTCCCAGTTGTCTTTCTGGGTACTGGTTCACTTCAGCAGGCAGTACGACTCTCCTGGAGAGTCACATACATGGTTAAGAAGCAGGACAGGGTGCTAGGGCCTACACAAGGGCTGCCAAGACTCCACTTCCTAACCACCTGGAGGATGAGACCCCAAACATAACGTGAGGTGGCAATGACAAGGGCAAAGGCAGGCTACACACAACCTAGGTCTGCAACCCTACAGTTATTAGCTAGCCTTGGAAAGTATGCTGGGAAGGAGTGGGTAGGAAGGAAAGGTGGCCATCACTCAAGTGATCTTTAAATGTAAAATATAACTGATTGTGCCTTAAAGATTCAAAGGTCAAGTAATGGCCCATAAGCACCAAGGTGACTAAGGTTCATTTTAGAGTATATAAGGCCCACAAAGATACCAACCTTAAAAGTACAAAACAAACTAGTTATGAAAACCTACTTCCTCACTGCAAACATAATCCTTCAATCCTCCTTGCTTTCCAAGGAATATTGCTTTTTCTTCAAAAACAAGAGACTGATTCTTACACCATTCACTGATAACAAAGAAAAACAGAACAAAAACTCTCAACTGGGTGTGGGGGAAAACATTCTTCTCATGCTTCAACCGGTCAATTTTGATACTGTAGACAAAAACGAGAAGGCAGTATTGAATATATGTATATATAACATATATATACACATTATATAATCAGTTTTCCTATAAAGTCAGCAGGTACAGGTGACTGTTTATCATTTTGATATGTAGTTTTTAATATTCCTATCATCTAAAATCATGGCCTGACATGCATCAATAAATAAATTTAAAAAGCATGAGGTTAAAAAAGCTGAAATTAAATATAGATTCTAGATTTGGATTTAAAATTAGAGCTATGTATAGAATGTGACAATTCCTGCAAGCTTGATTTTCAATTAAAAATATGAAAAATAAAGCAGTAGACTGTTACAGTTCACATTATTTAACTCTAATGTCTTCTCTCAAGTGTATCTTTCCAAGGGAAGTGAAGTTTAGAAAAAATCTGGACAAGTTCATTCACAGTGGTGAGATCCGCCTGGGCCTGTCTCCTGGGGCTTGTCAGCCTCTGACCTCGTGTGCCCAGCGGCTTGCTTCACTTTCTTCTGTCCACTCCTAGGTCACCAGTTTAAAAGTGTACCAAGATCCACACAGAATCTTTGGTCAGGTGAACAAAAACCCACCATAGAGCACGCAAGTCAGAGTTCTGCATGCTGTTTATCTTTGGCAGCCTTCCTACACCAGCTCCTTTGCCACTAGCGCTGGTTAAGAGCAAAACAAACTTTAACCAATCAATTAAGAAGATGCCCTTGCAGTTTCAAACTTTATTGACCTCCCTGGGTTATGAATGATACACATTTCCTTTTTCGTCTGCCACACCTGCCACCAATATGCCAAAGGCAAGTCTTTAAATACCCGAGAATATGGATTAATTTTACAAGTGACATTTAAGTCCCCGTTGAGTTATACCTGCTAAGCTCCCAACCAATTTCAAGCTGTGCACTATACCCAAAGTCTTAACAAGACTTTAAAAACAAAACAAAGGTCAAAAAAACTTCAGCACAGAACAGAGTTTTCTTTTGTGGAAGGGGCATGAGGCAGCAGTCCTGTTTTTAAAGTATACAACAGCAGACTTTTGATTAAAAAAAAGTAAACAGATTGTCATGGGAGAGAGATTGTGTGTTCTAGTGCTCCGCTTTCCCCTCCCATCACCCCTCCCACCCCTTGGATCTCCCACAGAGTGAGAATACAATGAAACTAGTTTGTATTTATAGGTATTTTACAAGGTTAAATAAGAACAACAATAATAAAAAAAAATTGAACACTAAAATGAACAGGTTTTTTTTCCTCTTTTTAATTTTCTTTCCAAACGTGACCAGTGTTGCTGAGTGACACTCAAGTAACTGGTGGTTTTTCCTGTGCAGCTGGCTGCTCCGGACTACTCAGGTGGAGTTGGAAGCTGATGCAGAAGCGGCGTTATTGGTCTGCCCACGGTCTCCAGCATTAGCATCTGCAAATTCAAAGTCCAAGACAGCATGAGCAAAGCTCTAACACCCAAAGAGAATAAGTCCACTGCCTCAACTGCATACTGAGCTGTGTGGCCTTCCAAACTATTATCTAGACTGTTGGGTTAAATATGGCCAATAGGATAAAACCTGAATTCCTTTCTGTGTAGAGCTAAACTCATGCCTTGGCACAGTCCCATTGCAGAGAAGAAAGTATCTGAGTAAGTTACAGACTCAGGGATCAGTAACCATTTCTGTCAAAACTTGGGGTTAGTAGTACATGGGCGCTCAGTTGGAGTCTAGCTCACTTGAAAATAAATGAAAACCTCCTAAATATTCTGAGCCATGTTCCAACACGCCACCTGCTTAAGTTGGTAATGCACGTCATATGGGTCAGGGTTGACAGGCCTAAACACTGTGCATAAATCAAACTCAGTTGCTTGTTTTTTAAGTATAGTTACTCTTCATTAGTCACAGAGACAACAAAAAAAGTAGCCACTGTAGCAAAAAAAAAAAAAAGCAAAAAAACTAGTCACTGTTGTACCAATTCACTTATTCAATTCAGTAAGAGCTTACATTGCCCGATTCCTCCCTAAATGCATGCAGCTTTAGAACTGCTGTCCCTTTTCCCCCTTTTTAAAGACACACTATTATTTCACAGGACCCATGAACAATTAAGTGGGCATCAAACTGTGTTCACACTGGCTCTCTATCATGCGTAGACAGCAGACTGCCATCTCAGTGGCTTATCATTAGCACCACACACTATGACTGGGAATGTACTATTGGCCAAATTTTCTTCCCCAGGATTCCATGTTAAGCCCTGAGCAAAAGACATAGTTTGACTTGAGATAGGCAATTTCTAAGAGCTATCTCCCTAGAAACCATACTGCTCTTGGCCATCAAGGCTAGTCATACCAGAAGGCACTCTGAATTTTTTGTCTCTCTAGTACTGAAGGGATCTGTAACTCCGCATGTCTATGATGGGCAGCGTAACCAATGTTATGATTGAAGGCAAACCTCTGGTCCTGTATTTTTCTACTTTGAATTTCTAAATTAGAGTGAGACGCAGAAAACCTCAAGGATACAAAGCAACTTCACTGTTCAAGGAACAGTTGCTCAGTTTACCATTTCTATAGCTACTCTGTAAAAACTATACATCATTCTATAGTCCTGATTTCCTATCTCCCAAATAATCTGCCTTTATATATACATAATCCAGTCTTAATCTGAATGGTTATATTTAGTTCATTTAATTTCCTCAAAACACAGATGCTTTTAGCTCTGCTGTCATATAAATAAGTACATTTTACTTCTTAATTCTCATCCTTTTACACATATAGTGGTAAAAGCGATGCTACCTGACATTATGGCTTAAAAGATAGGCTGAGATCTTTTGATTATAAAGGATCTGACAATGAGTAATTAACTGACTTTCCAGTCTCTTGTTGTTAGTCCTGAGATCCTCTTCTGAGCTTTACACTAATATACCTTTGTTAAACCTAATCCAATTCTACGAACATTTACTAGGAATACTAGTTATACAACTTAATAGCTGTGTGATTTTGGAAAAAGTTACTTCACCTGTCTATCCCTTCAATCTCTTCATTGGGTAAATAGTAATAATACAAGACAAGTGATTACATTAAAAAAACAATTGTTTTTTCCTGAAATGTTTCCTTAGTATATAGTCTTAAGGCTTTTGTACTAAAAATCACAAAAGGAATTGCTGCAAGCATTAAAATAATTATTTTTGCTAGTATGCCCAGGTTCCCAACAAAGTCAATGAAGCTGTAATTTTTGTCCTATAATACATTTCTCTACATAGAAATCCACATCAGGTATGTGTACATTGTGTGTATGTTTTCTAGATTCTCTGATCTGTTAACAGCTGCTAGAGTCATGGATTAATGGTCAGTTGTCTCAATAGTGAGGAAATCACTCTCCCTAGCTTCTTAGGTCATAAACTCAGAAACTGTGGCCTTGATTCTTCATTGTCCTCCTGATAGCCCATGCCCAACTATTGTATCAGCAAGTCCTATCCACCTGCCTTGAGCCAAATGTGGTTGATCAAATGTTGCAAATGGGGACAGAGTGAATGGAGGGCCTCACACTTAAAAATGTTGGGTTTTAAACAAAAAGTGAGTGGAAAACAATGAAATGGTTGGAAGGACAGAGCAGAGAGTAAACACAGGAGATGGGGTTCTAAAGGCTTTGGCACCATGAATCAGTATTCTAGAACTGTGGTTCTACAGAAGATAAAACCTTCTAATTAACAGTGCTAATGAAAGAAATGTTCTATTTGCATTTTCTAATACTATGAACTAGCTACATATGGCTATCTAAATTTAAACTGAAATGAAATAAAATAAAATTTAAAATTTAGCTCTGTATATGTTTTAAACACTTTTCAAGTTCTCAAAAGTTACAAAATTATCACTTTTTAATATTTCTGTTATTTGCATATTAGTAAAAGTGTATTTTAGGTAATCAAATTAGCCCTTTGTTTTACAAGTACAAGTGTATAAACACACTTGCAAACTTAAGTACACTTTTATTTCTATTTCTTTTATTATGCTCTGTCTTGATTCTAATCTCTCTAAAGCTTATTTTATGTGTTTCTACTCACCAGGCATAATGGTTAGAAATGCCTCATGACAGGTCAACTCCTGTAAAAACTAAGCTTTTGGCAGCCTGAGATATATTACATACTGTATTACTTATAACATGTAGCTAACTCAGTCTAGTCAAGCTGCTCCAAGTGAGAATATTGCTACTATAAAACTATGGCTTGGATATTAGTGTTATTAACTGCCACAGTAACAAATTAGACTGCTATTCACAAGAATCAAAGTATACCCTAGGCTTACACTGAAACTGAAATCATGATCTATACAAATGAGATCAAGGTTCTACCTGTAAGGAAGAGCCAACTTTTACATATCTCTTCATAATGTCTACTATGAAATGATTTT